GTGCAGGTCGATGATGACCTTCATGCAGAGGACGGCGTTGTCTTCTGACTCGATGCGGAGCAGCTTGAGCAGGAGCGACATGAGGGACGGGGCGTGCTGGCGCAGAGGCTCGACATGCGGGAGACGGTGGAGAATCTGGATGAGGAGATTGCGGAGTTTCTGGCGGACGTATCGAGCGGTACATCAGCTCCTTATGCCTCCGATCACTGCTGAGGAGGGCGCGACTCACATGCTCGCCCGAAGTCGACACAAACGCGGGCTTGCCCGTCCTGAGGATGTCGGTGAAGGCTGGTAGGAGGACGTCGAAGAGCTTGCCGAGGTCGAGGTCCTTCTGGTACATGTCGATAGCATCTCGGAGCTCTGTCGCCAGGTTCGTCTTGGTCTTGTAGTCTGTTTGCGCGGTCGCGAGGGAGGGTCGAGGTGAAGGAGGGGGGAGTAACACGAGTCAGCGCAGCGCAGGCGACGTGATGAGGACGCGAGCACACCGACAGACGGGTCCTTGAGCTTCTCTGCAATCGTCTCGAAGCTCTGGCCCTCGAGGGGCGAGCCTGCGCCGAAAGCGCCTGGGATCGCCTTTGGGCCGGCAGACTGCCTCCTTCCGGCCGAGCTGGTCGACGGTGGGCCCGCCATGGCCGCTGAGAGCTGACTGTGTGGCTCTGCGCGAGGTGGCGGTGCGCACGGAGCGAGAGCGCGAGAGTTGAGGGTGGGTCGGTTCCAGCGAGAGAGAGCGCTCTTCGCGACGTTGGGAACCCACCTCGAAAGCAGCTCAGCAGCGTCGTCAGCGCATCAGCGGCGCTAGCTGTAGCCTTTGCAGTCCATCACAAGGCTACACAGACTCGCTCGAAGTCGAACAGAGCAGACCGGTGCGGTTGTCGTCGTGCTTGACCTCGCGCTCCCCGCTTCATCACTTCTCTCGTTCTGACAGATCGAGCACATCGCTTAGGCTGCTTCCTGCTCGCTCGACCTCGCTCATAGACACGCTCTCGACTACCTGGACGCAGCGGCGCGGCGTCCAATCGTCGCCACCCTCCTCCTGCACCCACACCGCCTCTCCCGCGCACCACATCGTCTCCACCATCCCGCTATCTCCCTGTCCGGCTGGCATGTCTTCTCGAGCCAGTTCAGAAGCCCCCGCCGGTCTCCCACACAAGCGCCCTCGCTTCGACAATTCCCACGACGCGTCCCCTCCTCGACAGCCAGGTGTGGCGGGACCTTCACGAGCGTCAAGGCGCTCCGAGGAACCCAGGTCGAGCTCGTCGGGACCGGGATTTGCAGTCGAAATTCCATACAAGCCGTGCAAGAGGCCTCGTAAGCGGACTGCTTCGCCAGACCCTCGCGACAGCGACCGGGAACCGTCTACCGGGGAGGATGAGGCCGCAACGGCGAGGGACGGACGAGTGGCCAGTACTTCTAGACGTACGAGGTCGCGAAGCGCGGTGGCTGCCGTCAAAGTCGACTCGGACAACGAGGAGGAACCTTCCACCGCCGAATCCGACGACGAGCCAGTCATCGCCTCTGGCTCTCGAACCCTCCCCGCTCGCTCTTCCCGCAACGCCGCACCCGTTCTCGACCTCACGGACAGCGGCGACGAAGGCTTCTCCTCCCTCTCGCCCGGCTTGGCGTCCGGCAGCTCGTCTCGTCCGAATCCACTCGCGAACATCGACGCTCCTCGTCCACGCCTGAATATCCGTCCTGGCGACTCGCTTTTCAGCACGCTGGGCGTCGCGAACGATGATGATGACGATTCGCTCATCTTTGAAGATGCAGCGGCTGTTAGTGCGAAACGCATCGAGAAGGGCAAGGGCAAGGGCAAAGCTCGCGATGCATCCACTTCCTCCGTGCCGCTCGCCGACTCGACCACTTCAGCGAACAATGCCGCCGCCACGACAGCCGACGGCGAACGGCTTCCCTCCCTCTCCCACCTCACCTGCCCCATCTGCTTTGGTCCGCCCGCTCCCCTCGCCCTCACCTCGTGCGGCCATGCTTTCTGCGCACCGTGTCTGCACGCCGCCCTTGTCGCCGGTCCGGCACTCACGCCTCCACCAGCCGGCACAGCAGGAGCGGGACGAGGAAGAGGAGGAAGGACGGGGCCGATGGGGGAGGCGGCGAGGCTGTTCAATACGTCGACGGGCGCGCGAGGGAGGGGACGCGCGGCACGCGGTGGGTATGCAGGACGAGCCCCCGCCCATGCGACGGAAGACGAGGACGACGAAGGCGATCCGGAGCTCAACAAGCACTGCCCGGTGTGCAGGACGCCCTTGTACGGCGGGTGGGGGAAGAGTTTGCGCGGACTCGTATTGCGGATGGCGCCGGTGAGGCGGTGAAGCGTGCATTCTCCAGTCATGCCTTTCATGGACGTTTTTGCAGCGCTCGTCGGCTCGACTGATCCGCCTGCGCGCGCAATCTCCGAGCTTCTACATTCGTGCCTGCACTCCTGCGCTGCACGACAGCGTGTGAAGCGCGAAGACTCTACGTCAGATGCCCTGCGAAGACGCTTCGCGCCGCCCCTGGGTGTCACTCGGCCTTTGAGGCGCTCTCCTTGATGCTTCCGTCAGCTCCCACTGTCTTGACGTCTCCCGCTCCACCGCACGAGCGAGAAAGTCACGTTGAGAAGGGACACAAACGGGAGTGAGGAACTTCAGCACTGATATTGGCATTGCTATGGCGTGACAGGTACAGATCCAGGAGAAACAACGAATGAAGAGAAAAGAAAAGGAGAGCCAGGAACAAGAAGGACCGCCCGCCTAGACGTGACGTCCAGCCTGCTCGAGGTGGTCCGACGACGACTTCTCGATGTGGTTCATCGTGTGCTTGTTGTCGCCCTCGCTGCGCATGTCCGAGTCGGCCCTGTGCGTGTGCAAGAAGCCGGTGAGCGCGAGCGCGCGAAGAAGAGACGGGCAAGACGTACACCTCGGCCTCGACTTCGGCGAGCGTCTTTTTCGGGACTGACGAGAGGCGCCAGGCGCTGAAGGCGTGACCGGCGGCGAACAGATCGTCCATCTCCTCGAGCGTACGGCCCTTCGTTTCCGGGAACATGAAGAAGACGTTGATGGCGGCGCAGATGCAGAACGTGCCGTAGACGAAGTACGTCTTGTACCTGCACACCGCAGCACACATGTCAGCCTCGAGTGCCGACAGCGACTGGCGGGACAGACGTACTGGATGTTGCGGAAAGCCGGAGGAGTTGACCAGGCGAGGGCGAAGCTGCGATTCGCAGGCGTCAGCGAACGGTAGAAGCACGAATGATCGGGAGACGCACTTGAACATCCAGTTCGTCGCCGTCGCAGCGCTGACTGCCTTGCCGCGAACGCGCATGTGGTGGATCTCGGACGGGCTGCAGGGTTTCAAGGCGTCAGCGGCGGCGTCCGGCAGCCAGACGACGAAGGGCCGGCAACTCACAAGATCCACGAGCAGGGTCCGTAGGTCATCGAGAAGAGCATCACAAAGATGTAAGAGAGGACGATCACGGCGTTGCGGGCCGAGGTGTGACCGACGATGGTCCAGGTCGTCGTAGCGGAGGAGCCAGAGTGGAGCGGCTGGCCCAGAGTCGCTTGGATGGCTCCGACGGCGAAGAGGCAGCAACCCATCGCGAACATGCCGATCATCATGCTGCGATCGCGGCATCGGTGTTGAGAGCGCAGGAGGGGAGAAACCGGCGGCGCGGGAGAGAGGAAGGCAGGTTGCGGAGAGAATCACGGATTGTCAGCGAAACCACCTTCTCGCCAGCATAACAGATTCGGACATACGTTGCTAAAAGTGATGATGAACACGGGAAGGCGATGCGGCGGACGCGATTCAGGAAGTCGGGGCAGCAGGAAGAAGCGGAGAAGAGCAACGAAGAGGGAGAACGGGCGGTCAGCGACCGTTTTCTCTGAATGTTAAGGTTGAGAAGGGGAACTTACGACGCTAGATGTGGTGACGATTATCCGGAAGAGCGAGTGAGCGTTGAAGAGGAGCGAGATTGACGAAGAGAGGGAGGGAATCGAGGACTACGTCAACCGAAACTCTCTCGTCGAGTGTCGAGTGTCGAGTGACAGACGGCCAGGACTCACCCGTCCCCATTTGTCGACCCAAATCACGGCGGGAATCGTCGCGACGAAGTGCAAGGCGTACTGCACGCCTGAAGCGATGAGGCCGCCTCGTCGTCCCACAATACCGGCGCTCTGAAAAACGTATCTGTACACGCCCAGACGCGTCAGTAGATGCAAATGACTCAGTGAGAGTCGACCGGCGGGAAGGGGAGAGGAGACATACACGACGTAGTCTGCGGAGGTCGACGGGAGTTAGGCTGCATTCTTATTCCCCACGGCCTCAAAGACGCGTGCACTCACACATCATGACGTTGTTGCCACTCAGCTGCGACCACATCTGCGTGATGCAGGCGAGGAAGGTCCGGCGGAAGTACTCCGGCTTCAGCAGGTCAAGGTAGCTCCTGGCGGCCAACGTCCTGTCGAACTCGACCTGGCGCTTGATCTCGAGGTACTCGAGTTGGACGAGCTCGTTCTCTGTCTCTCCCTCGGCGTGAACGTCGGCGAGGACTGCGGGCAAGGGTTCCGTCAGCTCGATTCCGTCCTCCGATCTGGGCGAGCAACGACAACTCACTCTGAAGCGCCTGCTCCTCCCTGCCGTGGTCCATGAGCCATCGCGGCGATTCGGGGAAGGCAAACATGAGGATGCCAAGGATGAGTCCCGGGATGGCTTGAAGGGCCCAAGGCATCCTGAATGAAGCGTCGTTCTGCGCGGAGTCGCCTGTCAGCTGCAGAGTGACGGAGCCGGTGCTGAGGAGTGCCATACCGCAATGTATGAGCAGCCAAAGGAAACGAAATATTGAAGCAACTCAGAGAACGTGATAGCGAGCTGTTGGGTGGCGACGATGCGGCCGCGGATGGCCGGGCGAGTGATCTCTGCTTGGTAAATGGTGACAATGGCCGAGCCGAGTCCGACCTGCGGAGCGAGAGGCGCAACATTGGGAAGGTCAGGGGCGAGTCCGTATCAAGCGCGATACAGCGAGAGACGCGTACGGCGAGTCCGGCGACGACGCGACCGGCGACGAGCGTACGGACGTTGAAGCTGGCGGCCTGGATGATGCAGCCGAGCACCCAGACCCAGCCGCTGATGATCTGTGGCGAGACGGAACGACGTCAGTGGACTGCGAGGAACGGCCGCTACGCTGAGCGGGACGCACGATACACCACTTGCGACCGATCTTGTCACTGAGGTACGAGTTGATGAGGGCGCCGCCAAAGGAGCCTGTCAAATGTGAGCCGCGGGTCAGCGCGAGGCGAGGGCAGCGCATGAAGGACAGCTCGCCTGCTGGCATGGCGGCAGTGATGCTGCATAGCGTTGGCGGTCAGTCACTCGCTCCATCGAGGAGGCAAGGAAGCGGGCTCACGCTCCCTGAAGGTTCGAGTTTGGGTGGTTGAACTGCTCGAGGTAGGCGGGGTTGGAGACCTGCCCACTCATCGAGATGAGGTCGCATCCAACTGCGCACAGGCATGTAGGTGCGCGGATAGAGGGAAGGGCGGGAGAAGCAAGCGATCAGTTCAGATTGACTTGGACTCAAAGCACGTTGACTTCTGATGCGAGTCTTTTAGTGCCTCTGCACGTGAACTCACACATGAAGCCGGCCAGCGTCGGCAGCATCCCAGCAACATACTGTCGAGAGAAAGGGCAGAGGTGAGGCTCGACGAGGAGAGAAGTCCAGCGGAAGAGGACGCACATTGTTGGTCGTGAAGCGAGTTACGAGCGAGCGCTTGGGAGGAGGCGCCATGACGTGCGAATTGAGCAGGGGATGTGCAGGCCCAGAGGCAGGAGGAGCAGGCGGCGCGATGGAGAGACGAGGAGGAAAAGGGGAACGGAGAGAAGGCCCCGCAGTGTCTTCGCCTGGAGCCCCCGCCGCCAGCAGTGGAGTGGCACTGTGCGAATCTTATTCGGGAGAGCTTGCTTGGCGGTCCGAAGCGCCGCGTCGCCGTACGAACCCGCTCACCGCTCCTCGACGGCGGTTCGAGCGGTATCGCCCTCGGAGACAGGCACCGGCCAGCCGGGTACACACAAGCGAGCAAGCTGAGCGCAAGTGTTGTCGGACCCTGACCGCCGTGCAGACAGCGAGAGGAGCAGCCGCGGACACGCGCAGACGTCTTGTTCGCCTGCGAGGCGGGCGGCGCGCGTGAGGAGGGAGGGACGAGGTTCCAGATGCGCTGTCGGCAAGCGTACCGACAAGCGGTAAGGAGCCCAAGTGTAAGGGAGGAATAGATCGAGGGCGATACAGCCGGTGTTGGGGCTCGAAATCGCAAAACAATGGCAGAAGCTGGGCAATGGACTGCATAACATGCGCACAAACGATAGATACCCTGCTAGATCCAGCCCACCCTAGCCGGCCGACCCTCCGTTCGACCACAATTGCCCTGCTGCCCGCCCTGCGCGCCCGCCTTCGTTGTCGACAGCCATTCGACGACCTGCTGCACGCGATTACGCTCAAATTTGCACGCCGTCTGCACCGCGCTGCATCCGAGCCAACCTGCTTCCGCCTCGACGGTTCGAAGGGCGGACGTGAGCGCGAAGAGGGGCGACGGATTCAGTGAGAAAAGTGAGAGATAGAGCGGCTCAACATCGAGTGCGGCGGTTGTCAAAGGGTCGCGGGGAAGGACAAGCGAGGGGGGAAGGCGGCCGGTACGGAAGAAACGGAGGAGGCACCCGTACGTCGATTCGCCGAGCAGCAACGGCGAGGCTGTATCGAGATCGTGGTGAGGCGTCGCCGTGGGCAGAGCGGCGTCTGTGCGGTCAAGGAAGATGTGCATCGTCAAGTCGTCGAGGGATACAGGCCGAGTCGGGTGTCGACATGCCGAACCGCCGCCAGAGGCCGCTTGCTGAGGAGCGTCGGACTCGCTGCTGCACAGCGAAGGCGTCCGTGCGCTGGTAGTTGACGCCGCTACTGCGCCGTCACGCTGCGGTGCTGCTACGAGGCCGACCATCTCCTCCAGGGCATCATCCGAGAGACCGTAGTCGAGCGAGGCGCGTTCGACAGCGACCTGCTGGGCATGAATGACGCCGTCCGGCGACGAAGGAAACATCGCAACCGTAACGGGCGATGACGGTGAGGGTGAGGAGTCTATTGGCCACGATGGCGGCGAGAGGAGCGATAGCGATTCGTGCGCTTGCCCGCGGACGACGTCGAAGAAGGGTTCAAGGCCTTGTCGGAATGCGCTGCTGAAGTCGAAAGACGCGCAGTCATCGTACCTGAGCAGGGTAGGAGGTCAGTGATTGGCAACGGCAGACTGTCGAAGATCCGAGATGGGACGCACCTCGCGACGCTCGAGGACACGACGAAAGGCAGTGGGCTCGCCATTTCGGGACCGAAGCTGAGCGTGTGGCCTAGGTCCGGGTGTATGGACTTGTGCCTCCCCGCGACAGCAGCTTGCGACTCGACCACGCAGACTCGCTGTACGTCGCAAGATTCGAGAGCCGGCGGAGGCTGAGGAACCAGACTTGGTCCGGCGCCGGCACCGCGTGAAGCGGAAAGGATGTTCTTGGCGGCGATGACGGCGGCGGCTGTACTGACGAGCGGGTCGATAGGACTCGCCGGATCCTCGCCGCCGGAGAAGACGATATCGCCTGCCGTGTCGCTTGCGAAGCAATCGTCGGCGAATGGAAAGGGCGAGGCAGGGAGGGGCGAGGGTGCAAAGGACGGCGTGCGGCTGATCGAGCTGGCGCTTGATTCGTCGTCTGTAGGGATACGCGCTGGAATGTCGAGGTGCTTCACCGAGACATCGACTTCGGTTGTCGCACCCCTCACGCGAGGAGGCTGCTCGGCGAGTCGCGCTAGCTTCGCCCCTGTCCGACGCACGTCGTCGAGGATCGACTCGACGAACTCGCCCAATCTGCCAGACACGGCGTTCCCACCGTCTCGGGTCGCGAGTAACGTTTCCACAGTCGTCGCATAGGTTGACTGGCCTCCGATGTCGATGCGGACGAGCAGCTCGCTGGCAGACTTGGTCAGAATGGCTGCAAAAGTCGGCGGCTTGACGAGCATCGCTTTGAACGCGGTCGAGTGGCTGTCGAGGGTGATCTGGCTCGGAGCGGGTCGCAGAGGAGGTATGGAGGGCGAAGGAGGGGATGTTGGACGCTGGTGAAGCGGAAGATGCGGCGGGATCCGCTTGGGACGAGGACGGCTCGCGGCGAGTGCAGGGAGACGACCTGGGTGTGCGCCGTTGGAAGCGCTAGACGCGAGCGATGGTGGTGCTGGAACGTGCGCGTCGTGCGGCTTCACGTCTGCCACGGCGGCATTGCGCGAATCGGAGCGCGGCGGAAGGTCGACGAGCTTGAATGGCGGGCTGGCGGGTCGCTCTGGTACGCGACCAGGACGAACTGGGCCAGGCGAGGGAGAGGATGTCGAGCGAGGTCGCGATCGCCCCGATGCAAGCGTTTCAACGCTGGCCTCGCTGGCGCCGCTTCGCTGGCGAGCGTGACCAGGCCGGCGCAGGGCGAGCTTCTCGATGACCTCCTTCGCTGCGCCTGCGAGTTTCTCGGCAGCGGTAGTGCTTCCGCTGCTTGCCGTCCGGCTCCTCGAGGCGGAGTGGGAGCGGCGCGGCCTGCGCTGCTGGTCTTCGAGTGAAGGCCGACGACGACTGCGCGTCTCGGCGTCGTCCGACGCGGAGCGTCTGTCGCCATCCGCATCGTGCCGCTTGGCTGTCGAAGACATGCGACGATGGTATCGCTTCGTCGCCGCGGCGAGGGGAGAGGCGGGAGGTGAAGGCGACGAGTTTGCCGAGGTGAAGATACGCTGAAATGGACGAGGTGGAGACTTGATGATGAGCGTGTCGGCGGAGAAACGCGACGTGAGGGTGCGGTGCTGAGGCTCGGGCGGTGGAGGAGGAGGAGGAGGAGGATACGCTGGCGGGAAGCGCAAGGCCGCCTTGAGGGTGCTCATCTGTGGTGATGCTCAGTCAGCGTCGTCTTCTCCAATATGGGTGGAAGTGAACTCACACTTCGCTGAGAGGGCCGTTGCGCTGGTGACGAGGAGCAGGAAAAAGGAGCAGCAGAACACGCGGATGGATGGAAGCAGGTGCATCCTCGAGGCGATCGGCGCGAGGGAACGTCGCATAGGCTGCCGTCAACAAGGCGTCGCACGGACAAAGGAGACAAGGCGGGTAGCAGAGCTCGGTCGCTGGACAGGAGCCTCTGCCTGAGCGTCAGGAGGCCCGTGAGCGAGGACAAGGTGCGGGAGTGATTAGAGCGGATGACGATGGCTGTACGGTACAGGCAACCTCCGCAAAATCTCGTCAGTCTGGGTCGCACGTTGCAGCGCATTGCCTCCGGTAGCGAGCAAGAGTCGACGGAGACGGATATCGAGTGAGAGGGGACGAGGCGGTGAGGGGTTTGGCGGCGCTGTGATAGCTGCGACGGGTGTTGTAAGCCTCGCAGATTGCCTCTCCGTCGGTGATAGCAGCTCATCAGCCCCAGCGTGGGTCAGCGTGAGACGCGAAAGGGTTTGGATCGGGTCGCTCGCTCCTTGTCCTCACCCGCACCGCTCAGCAGTCCCGTCGTAGCTTCACGGACCAGCCAGAGCCCCTCAGACCTTTCCACCTACACTGTGAGTCGCCTTGAACATCGCAAACAGCCCCCGCGCGACGGTGTCGTCGATGAAACGATGAAACGCGCTCTCGTCCCACCCCTCCCTCGCTCAACGTCGCTGACCCACTCCCACACACACAGTCCCGCACCCCGACAACCAGTCTCCCCTCTTCCTCGAGTCACCATGCGTGGTATGTGCTACGCTCTTGCCTGCGCGCGCCGTACTCGTCGAGGTGGTCTCGAAGGGGGACGTGCCAGACGCGTCGTCCAGCGGGGAATCCTCGCCTATTGCAAGCTGACCAGTCTCTCATCCGCAGAGATCATCTCCATCTCCGTCGGACAGGCCGGTGTCCAGATTGGCAACGCGTGAGTTTGTTGCTTCGCCCTACCCACCCCTCGACGCGTCTCCTGCACGACTCGCTCGCGACTTTGCTGACGCTCGTCGCCCTTGCCACGCAGCTGCTGGGAGCTCTACTGCCTCGAGCACGGCCTCGGACCTGACGGCCGCATCATCAACGAGGACCCGGACAAGCAGAACTCGAACGGCGGGTTCTCGACCTTCTTCTCCGAGACGGGCTCGGGCAAATACGTCCCCCGCTCGATCTACGTCGACCTCGAGCCGAGCGTCGTCGACGAGGTCCGCACGGGCGACTACCGCCAGCTCTTCCACCCCGAGACGCTCATCACCGGCAAGGAGGACGCTGCGAACAACTACGCCCGCGGACACTACACTGTGCGTACTCCCGTTCTGGCCTCTGCGGTCGCGCCCCAGCTGACTCCACTTGCACGCGCAGGTCGGCAAGGAGTTGATTGACACGACCTGCGACCGCATCCGCAAGCTCGCCGACAACTGCGACGGCCTCCAGGGCTTCTTCGTCTTCCACTCGTTCGGCGGTGGCACGGGCTCCGGCTTCGGCGCTCTCCTCCTCGAGAAGCTCTCGGGCGACTACGGCAAGAAGTCGAAGCTCGAGTTCTCGGTCTACCCCGCCCCCTCGCTCTCGTCGTCGGTCGTCGAGCCCTACAACTCGATCCTCACGACCCACACCACCCTCGAGCACGTCGACTGCTCGTTCATGGTTGACAACGAGGGTGGGCACTCAGGGTTCCTTCCGTGCGCGTGTCCAAAGCTGACCTCGTTCGTGCACCCGCAGCGATCTACGACATCTGCCGCAAGAACCTCGGCATCCAGTCGCCGGGCTTCAAGAACCTCAACAGGATCATCGCCCAGGTCGTCTCGTCGATCACTGCCTCGCTCCGCTTCGACGGCTCGCTCAACGTTGACCTGAACGAGTTTCAGACCAACTTGGTTCCCTTCCCGAGGATTCACTTCCCTCTTGCGACCTACGCGCCGATCATCTCGGCGTCGAAGGCTTCGCATGAGGCGAACTCGGTCTCGGAGCTGACGCACTCGTGCTTCGAGCCGAACAACCAGATGGTCAAGTGCGACCCGCGCCAGGGCAAGTACATGGCGTGCGCGCTCCTCTACCGCGGCGACGTCGTCCCCAAGGACGTCAACTCGGCTGTGGCCGCCATCAAGACCAAGCGCACGATCCAGTTCGTCGACTGGTGCCCGACCGGCTTCAAGCTCGGCATCTGCAACGAGCCGCCCGCGAACGTCCCCGGCGGCGACCTCGCCAAGGTCTCGCGCTCGCTCTGCATGCTCTCCAACACGACCGCCATCGCCACCGCCTGGTCCCGCCTCGACCGCAAGTTCGACCTCCTCTACTCGAAGCGCGCCTTTGTCCACTGGTTCGTCGGCGAGGGCATGGAGGAGGGCGAGTTCTCCGAGGCGCGCGAGGACCTCGCCGCACTCGAGAAGGACTACGAGGAGGTAGCGGCTGAGGGCGAGCCCGAGGGCGAGGAGTACTAAAGTCCCGTAGTGTGCGGACGGGACTTTGGAGTTTTGTTCACCCTCTCTTCCCTTCTTCTGTTCCCCTCTTCGCTTTTCCTTGCGGTAATGCCAGTTTGATGCGCCTCTCTACTGTGTGTGCTCTACTGAGCCTGAGATGCAGTAAGCGGCAAGGCGTCCGCAGGGCATCCGCGAGGGAGAGGCGACACAATGGGGCGCCGCGGGCTCACTCTGCGGTTTCAGCGTGCGCCTCACAGTTCTGGACAATCCAGAGCTTTCCTGAGCTCCTGACCCCACAGAGCGTCTCTGGCAAGCGGAGGTGGTGTTCAGAAGATGGTCTCGCTGTTCGGGCTGCCCGAGCGGATGATGTCAAACCGGGACAAGCTGTTCACGTCGCGCTTCTGTCACACGCTGCACTTGTGGCTTGGTGTCAAGTTACAGATGTCGACGGCCTTCCACCCGGAGACGGGCGGGAGCCGCGAGCGGATGAACAAGACGGCCGTCCAGGTTTGAGGGCTTGAGGCAGTACGTCACAAGGCAGCAGAAAGACTGGGTGCATTTCCTGCCTACTACTGAGTACGCTCTAAATGCTGCCAAGGACGTTTCGACAGGCAAATCCCCGTTCAAACTCGTCCTCAGTTTCACCCGCCTCCCTCTTGCCTCGCCTCTCGACTCCCTCCAACTTACCAGCGGTTGACTTGCTTCTTGACAAGTGGAACATGAAGTTCAAGGAGGTGCAAAAGACACTTGCAGTCTCGAAGGTCAGACAGGCGGAACAGGCGAACAAGCGGAGGTCGGACGAGGAGAGTCAGGAGACCTTCGCAAAAGGCGATCTCGTCCTCGTTGATTTGCGGGACAGGAGGATGCACTACAAGTCTAAGCATGGTGACGAACAAGCTGCAAAGCTCTTCCCACGGTGGGACAGACTGTTCAAGGTTGTCGAGGTCTTTCCCGACACTTCGACTTATCGTCTCCAGCTCACGCACGTCGACAAGTCGCACCCGGCCTTCCACATCTCAAAGGTCAAATGCTACAACCCCAACGACACCAACAATTTCCCGTCCCGCGAACCGCCACGACCCGGACCCATCGACGTCGACGGCGAGGAGGAATACGAGGTCAAGGCGATTGTCGATGAGAAGGGCAAGGGCCGCGGGCTGCCTATTTGGTCAAGTGGCGCGGCTACCCGGACGCGTACAATGGAAGGGAACCGCTGGAGAACTTGAAGGACACGGAGGCTTTGAAGCGATGGAAGGAGCGGGAACGCAAGGCATCCGCTCTTCAGGGAGGGGAAGGGTGTAAGACAGACAGTCTTCCCACGGATATTAGCGGAGGACACATGCTGATTGAACGATGGCGAGCGCGGGCGGGTGCTTCCTGGTTTGCACCCTACGCTCACACTGACGGGACAAACCAGGTGTGTAGACTCTGTATTACGGATCCCTACACTCACACTGACGGGATAAACCAGTTGCAACACGCTCTGGTCCTCACAGTCTCGTTGTAGTCCACCCAGTGTTGAGCGACAAGTCATCGCCCTTCCAGTCACCGCGTCCACCTCGACGCCCAGCCCGGCCTTGCGCATCTGAGAAGTCCGTCAGACCCTTGGTAGGCCCGACACAATCCCCACAGCTCGCGTGAGCAAGGGAGACATACTAGTTCGGATGCCCGCCGCCTCAGGCCCTCAGCCGCCGCCCACCTCCGAGTTGCCGCCGCCGCCGCTCAGCTTACACCCGCCACCCCGCTCTGGCTGTTTGGAGTTGTTGCACATGGCATGCCGAGGGTGGAAGAAGCGGAAGAGATGCTAATCGAGGGATTGGCTTCCGAGCAGGAAGAGAGAGGCTTGCTTCGGGTCAATGATGGCGGTCCTGCGAAACAATGAGTTGGTCAGCAGGGTCACAAAGGGCAACGGAGACCTCTGGATCGACCCAGCAGTCTGCGTGAGAGAGAGAGAAATCGTGTCTCAAGTCAGATTGGGTCTAAGGCTCTAAGCCCATGGCAACTAGCAGAGACTGGCAGCCACAGCACAAAACAGTGAGGACGGTAAATCACTGATGTGGTGAGAGCATCAGAGTGGTCAAAGAGGGAGCGAAACAGTCAGTGGCGAGTGAGTGAGGAGAGAACAGAATAATCGCGTTGAGGCTAGGGGGGAGGATTAGGATCAGAGCAAAGTTGGTAGAGTGGTAGAGCGATGTGTGGCGAGTCAGGAGAAAGTAAAAAGCAAAAGCAAGAGGAACTGCGGGAAGGAACGGCTATTTTTGACGTAGATCTGGATGAACGACACCGACGGGCTTCGGCGTAGTGGCGGTGGGTTGAGGGGGTGTTGTAGGGTCAAGTAGTGTAGTACATAAGGGGAGTGGAGAGCGCATTTGAGGCGGTTTGGGCAAGTTTTCAAGGAGGAGGGTGCCGGAAAGGGGAGCAGGGGGAGGAAGGATTGGCTGGGGCGCGCCCCACAATGTCCCGCTTGCGGTTTCTGTCCTCCCCCTACTACTTAATGTCCTTCTTGACTGCCTGTGTGACTGTCAGTTGCCGGCACAGGTGAGGAAGTTGAGAAGTGAGTCGCGGTTGGCGGGATTGCTGAGGAGGAAGCCGGTGGTGGAAAGTTTGCGGAGTCAGAGGTGTTGCAGGAGCGAGTGACAGGTGTCGTCGTAGAGCAGGCAGGCAAGGAGCAGGTGTTCACGGATTTCCTCCTTGCCGCAAGGAAAGATAGGGTTGCAAATTGTGTCAAATTTGGCACGGCAGGCATTGAGGGAGCATGTCCCGGTTTGATAGGATAGGATAGGATAGGATAGGA